GCAATGTATAATGAGACTGTCAAGTGTTTACTGTCGTCTCATGACGCATTGCACCGTCCCTGCCTGTCCGTTGTATCGGACTCGTAAGTAGCAAATTATTTTCAATTACAACTCGAAAACTAAGCTTCGGACAAAATTTTGTAAAAGGAAAAATCGTCTCAGAATTCGCTCAAGAATATGGCATTGCAAGGACATCAGATTATTTTGAATCACTCTGTATATATATTTTTTTTTATATTATTATACTGATTGTCAAATATATTTTATGCTTATCTTTGCACTCCGCACGCATCTAAACAACAATTTTTCTTTGCTTTATCATGGCAACTGCAGGAAAAGGAGAATGTTAGTATTTGATTTTAATTTAACTACACATAATACACTGTAATTACTCGTTCCCTAAGTCTCTCTAAGTGTTAAATCTCGCAACGAATTTATCTCCAGCATATCGGACGTGCATTTGGAGAGCAGCGGTAGCGGCAGCGGCAGCGGCGGCAGGGAAACCAAGTCGTCGCTGAGCGTCGAGAGCGGCGGCAGCAGTCGCGGCGGCGGCGGTCTCACGTGGACGCCACCGGCGGGCAGCGCCGAGGGCTCGACACCCACGTGGACTGAGGGCACGCCATCCTTCACCGAGAGCTCCAGCAGCGGCGACATAGGTAAGTTGCTCTACGCGCTCAACATCTACTATGGCTCCTGAAGAGTACTGCCACGAGGACCACAGCTACGTCTTCTTCTGCCGCTACTCCCCCTCTCTTCTGCCTCCTCGAGCATTGTAACGAGGGGATTTACGAAAACATACGTGGACGTCGTTCTCAATTTGCTTTTTAATTGCTGATTATTAACGTAGATCTTTGTTAATATCGGAAAATTGATTTTTTTCCAAAAATAATCTGCTGATTCTATAAATTTCAAGCTTTTTTTTTTAAATATGACACAACAGAATGATAATGTTAACGACCACGTTCGCGATAGTCCTTTGTATCTCATTAATGCGACATTTATACAAATACGACATTACAAAACTGCGAGCTGAACATTATGTATATCGAGTGTTTAGTTCGTGAGAAGATTTAATCTTTCGGGATACTAAACATCATTCTTTGAGTCCGCTACAAAATGTATATACATTATCATCATTAACTTTGCAAACTCGACAAACATCACAATGCAAACAGATATCACATTCCAGTGCCAAATTGGCGAAAGACTTTTTTTGCGCCAATAACAGAACATTATCCGATACCAAAATCCTTATTAACGGCGGAAATATAAAAAGTATAAAATTTGTTAATTAATATATTAAACATTAGTTTAAGATGTAGATTAAACCAATTCTTATATGTTCTATATAACATTTTTATCGATTGTTTACTATGAGACTTTTATTTGCTGTTATCTTTCAAAAGTGAAAGAGATTTTTTGAGATCGAAGCGATATGATCTAATTATATCGAAGTTACACACACACACATATACACACACATGAAACATATGAATGTGAATTAAAGCGCGAAGACTTAGTACCTGTAACTGATGTTGCCTATATGTGGTAGATTGTATTTAAAGATTGTCAATGAGAGAAAGCTATTTTCCTCTCGTTCGATTTTGAATAAAAAAATATTTTGAGCATGAATAATTACAGCACGAATGTGACTGTCGTTAGAAACAATGAAAAGAAGCGCAACCCGATAATCCACGCTTTGCGTGCTCTATCTCGTGCGTCGATTGTAACTGGATTAATTACATTGATAAAAGCAAAGTCGGCCGAATGTGGAAAGAGAGCTATAATCGCAATTAACATTACTCTACCTAGCTCTGTCTAGCTGATTCAGAGGAAGCCTTGTTAAAATGCCTGATAACTTTGCGACAGTGAGAGAGACAATAAAGGAGAAAATACGAAAACACGAAACTTCATTCTCTCGTCACTCTTCATCGAACCCCGTCTACACGCTGATTTTTTTTCTTTACCTATTTTCATCTGTATACATTTTCTGAGCTTCGGATCAGTTGCTTGGGATCGCTGGGCTACGAGATAAGTTCCGATCTTTTTTCTACCTGTACAATCTTTCTCCACTATTGGGTCATGCAAGCAACTAGTTCACACGCTTTACCTCCATGCATAGACAACGCAATTTTTCGAATGCACGATGTTCCATGTTTCGCAATCCGAAGATTGCGAAACCTCAAGAAAGGCGCAAGCTTCATTTATATACAAATGCCACGCATATGCTCTTACATAAAATTTTCATATTGCGATAAAATATCTCAAGATTTCTCAATCTCGCAGCATTTACTCTTAGCTTCTTTTTCCAATATAGAGTTAGTTTGGAGATCACACTATCGCTCGGGATACTCGCTCTCGCCTTTCATTAACAGCAGTCCATGAAGGTTCAACGATATTTTTTGTACTATGACGATAATTTTAGGTTGCCCGACGACGCCGGTCAAAGGTAGTCAACGTCAGGATGACGGTGGAAGAATCGCGGCCACTGTGGAGGAGGCACTAGCGAGTCTCACAACCGAGATGGTAAGTCTTTATTCGTTTTCCTGACCGATCGGACATAAGAAGGTACAGCTGAAGCAATGGAAAATCATGCTTCCTAATATTTTTATCAAATTATACACGTATTTTTATAGCTAAAGTGAATCCATAAAACACAAAAATCAAATTTTGAAATCGAAAAATTAGTTTTATAAGAATTACAGTTTTCTTTGTGCACTTTTTTATTTAATAATTTCACATTTATATTAATTAATTTACAATTTTATCGTGTTATATACAGTGCAAACATCATTTTCTTTGATACAAATCTAATATTGTCGTGATTATCCATTGCCGCTGCTGTATTGTACTTCCACGAACAGACGATTTATACAAGATGGTAAGTTCGCTATCGTCAGTGGCCGATTGATCGGACTTAACGTTTTCCTCGAATGACCGAGTATTACTGTAATCAGTAAATACGAATGGCATATGATGAAAACCTATCCAATGATAATTCCGACACAGAAGTCGGGTCTTTAGTCCCCTTTAACATCCCCGCGAGTGCCTAGGATTTTTCAGGAGTTACAAATCCGTTAAAAATCCGATTAACCGCATGGAGCGTCCCAAGCCAAGAGATATCATTGTGAAATTGAAATAGAGGCACGCGAGAAAATGATACCGCTGTCAACGCTCCGGCGTTCATGCTGAAACCGTTCTGCGTCAACGGTATTCTCCATTACGCTGCGACACGCACTTTATGGAAAAGTAAACAAACGTTTTATCACGGAGACTGATGACTGACGAAACGCGAAAATATGCGCGCAAAACGCAGACGTCACCATGACTTACGCTTGCACGAGTCGCCTTTCGCTGCGCGAAAATCGTGTCGAGCGTATCGGATCGGTTCAATGTGCTATTTCGAACGTAATATTCTTAACGTACGGAGAACGACGTCGTAAACTCGCTTAGAAATCAGGGCGGGAAGCAACGTATCTCGCATAATCGTCTACAATTCATCGGTAGCCAGAATAATTCGAGAGCATTCATCGATTCTTTAAGGGAGAAAGAGAGAGGCTGCGCGAGCTGCTCCCGATATTTTTGAGCACGTACTTTTCTCAGCTTGTAAAATTCATCCCGACAGAAACGAACGGCCGCTTTGGAACGCTCCATGCGAGAGAGTCAGACTGTCTGAACGCTTTGTCTATTTCCCTGAATCAGGAGATACTGCAGCGCGAGTGAATGCACGACTCTCATCCCCTCTCCGCTAATCTTCGTCATGTACAACGTGCTGTTGGGTGATCCGCACCGTCGTAGCGACGAATCTTCGAGAGTGAAAGAAAGAGAGAATGAGCGAGTGAATGAATGCGAAGAAGGTACAGAATGATTACAGACAGCGAAGTTTAACCCTTGATTGGTCGCGTTAGAGCAGGTTGCTAATTAATGTAATTTGCTTTCTGAGCTATACTGGTATTGGTACTCTCTTGTGATGGATTTCTCTTTGCAGAAGAATACGCTTTACTTGTTCAAATTCTTGTTTCTCGTTATGTTCCTCATTTCACCGTTTTCTATCATCTGTTATTCCGCTGTCGATTCCTTTCAGTTTTTCTTGTTTCAATTTTCCGCTTTTCGATTATTCGTATTTACGCTTTCCACCGTAGAGATTGATTTCCAAGACTGATTTGCGACTGGGACTTTTGTAAATATTTTGGTTCGCTATTCCAATTCTAAAAATTCTACTGAAAAAAAAACCACTTGATCGATCACGACTATTTAAGGGTTAAAATTGAAAGGTGATACGAATAGCTTCGTCGAGGATCGAGGCGAATACACGATTAATTCTGGATTAAGATTGCAAGTACTGTCGATCGTTCCGTTTTGACAACGCGTTCATGTTTCATTCACTGCGAATGAACGTTTGTACTTAACGCGATTCTCAGCCATTAACACGCGTTCGATAGAGACGTTCGTCTCGATCCGCGATCTATAGTATTAATCCGTTATCGACATGTATATCTGTATACAAAAAATATGGGCGATTATCTCACTCGAGTGTGCTTCCCGATTACGACGAGGGAACACTTTCGATATCCTTATATGGGCATCCTTAAATCTTCCTGGGTATAGGAGAGTCAATATCATTATGGTTACATATTTAACAAAAACGTGATAATCGTCGGCCTACAGTACTCGATAACGCTTTTAACATTGTTCGAAATCGACTCGAGAAGTGACTGAAGTGCCATTTTTTCACTTAAGAAATTTTTATCTAGAAACGTCGCTTTTCTATTCAAAGAAGACTGACAGTAGTGCAAATTCAGTTCTTTCGACGTTATATAGGCGTAAAAAAAACATTTCTTTTATTTGTTTCCAAACGATAAATCCTTGAGTGACCTAATAGCTTGGTAGATGGTGTTGAAAGCTTGTACAGTTGATATAACTTTAACTTTCTCTTTTAAGCTTATTGTTTTACCGTCTTTAACTTCTAGAACGTCGAAAGAATGAAATATTTTGTAGCCCCTTGAAACCAGAAGCTTATTCCGAATCATAGAAAAGTAAGAAGACAAAAGTACCAAAAAAGCCAATTAGATAGGCTATATAAATGTGTCGAAAAAATGTTTCAGAATAATCCAGAAAGAATTAAAAATTAGGAATATCAAGAGATAGAAGATTGTAGCAAATTAAAAAAAAGGGGGTTAAAAATTGTGAAATGGCATTTCACCCACTTCTAGCCGTTTTCACGCGTATCTACTATCCGCACATATAAACTCATGCGTCTTTTTCCTAATCGAGTCGTCGCCGTCGATAAATTGATATCGTAGGTTTCACTAACACATGAGAGAGGTGTAAAAGGCCGTGCGAAACAATTCATTGTCGATATAATTGATGCACGATGAGAAGGGGGAGCGGCTGTAAATAAAATGTGCTTGCGCATAGTTCGGCTAGCAGAGGGCCCCGCGCGATTCCTTTTTATTGCGATATATAGTTAGTGTTATGTACATGTATCTATATGTGTCTCTGTCTGTCTCTGTATGTATCTATACATACACATATGTACACACACGCAAGACGTGTGTACCGTGTATACATATTATAAATACAACGTGCGTGTACTCGCAATGGAAACGTCTCGAGTTGTTCCTCCCTAATTCTGATGAGTTTCGGATCGTATCATGTACAAAACGGCTTGAGGGAAACAAAAGACACTCACGACTTCGCATTAGAGATAATGAATTTGGTATATTTTAATCGCAGCAAACATAACATATCAGAGAATAACATTGAAATAAAAGAATATTTAATATTTTTACGAAATTTTTCGTCTTTTTTTCTCAGAAATTAATTTTATTTCTATATAATTTTTAAATTTTCTTGTAAATTAATAATTTTTTTCTGATAAGAGATAAAACTATCAATAGATTGATACCGATAAAGTTAAAATCAAAGTCCTTGATAGTGAAAAAATTATAATAACGAAAGTATTTAAAAATATGCAGAATATATGATATTGTTAAATAGAGAAACTTCTGATACTGCAGCGAATTCACGGTGTATAAAATTACGTCTGCAGTGAGACAGACTTAGTTTTTAATTTTCCACAACGTGGTGATTTTTAATTTTCCACGACACTCATCAAAATTAGGATGCTCGGAAATGTTGCCTTGCCTGTATTATACATAACAATACGACGCGACGCGACGCGATAACAATTTGGTGAGGAAAAGGTCTTATAGTGCCGTGTACGTACAATAGATACTCCATAGTAGCAGAGCATACAGATATGTAATCGCGTTGCTATAATAGTACGTGAGAGTTATCGCGAACGTTTTGAAAGGCCAAAATGTTGTTCAATTATACGTATTATTATTAAAAAAAAAACGCTTCTGAACAGTCGATGTAACATTTATGATTGGCGGTAAAATCTCGCCGCATCTCGGTAACAGATCTGCTTTGCAGAATTAAGTCGTCTCCATACTTTATTAATGTATCTTTTATTTGATCGCTATATTCCGTCGCGTATTTTCACGCGGAACGATTTATCGTTCATTGAAGAAGCATTTGAATTCTGTTGATTATCCCAATGAGAAATTTTCTTTGTATCTTTTAGTAGAACGCGTACAACGACGAATAAGAGTAATAATGTTACAAATAATATTTTTATGAGCTAGATTGACTCGTGCTTTATCGGGCAAAATCGATAAAAATCCACGACGATTATTGAAGTTTTACCGTGGATGCAGATTTTACTGCCGAGATAGCTTCATAACACACAGTAGCTTTGTTAACTCGATACTCCGCCGCGGGTATGACTATTATTGTAATTGCTAGGATCCCGATCCCGCGAGAATGTACTAACAGCGTTAGCAACTTTGAAAGTGTGATATTTTTTTAACATATCCCGAGGAATTAAATATTAGAATCTGAATTGATATTGGCGCAGGTAATTTTCATTGATTCGCGTGAAAAATTCAGGGAGGATTATATTCGTAGAGAAGTATGCGTGCGCGAGAAAAGTGCTGTGTTGCTTGCAAAATACTGAGATTTTCCTAACACAATATATGTCCATTGTTTTGTGAAAATAATCGAAAATGTTGTTCACTGCTTTCGAGTTTTTTTTTTTCGATGCGATTTTCAGCGATTATGCTCAAGTGTCGTGTGTGCACGTTCCTTCTCGAATAATAATAAATCTCTTTTGCTGCTACAACGCCATGTGATGTGTTATACGCAGATGTTTCCCTGTGTGTTCCGTGTGTGCTTATACGAAACTTTGAGACTTTGATTCGTGAAATCATCTGTTTTATCATTTTTCAACTATCAATTCATAAATAGGTCAATGTGCTTTATCAAGTTACAAATTTAGCAATTTTTTTTTTGCTATTACATAATTATCCGTTCAAGTTTACCAAATGTGCCAGTTAACACGCCATATATATGACATTACATTCTCTTTATCTCCTGATCCGATCTTGCTACATTCATACTCTGTGAACCACTTCTGATAATTTGCAATAGCAATAAAGATATTTGAAGGTAAACGCTTAATTTTTATTTGCACAAAAAGAATGTGATATACGTGCCAATTTAATATTTTTAATTGGCACTATTGGCGATATACGATTATGGCTCGTCTCCTAATTGGCCCAGTATACACGCATTCCATCTTTTCACGACTACACATGTTTTAACATATTCGGAAATCTTACAGTTGAAAGTAATTTTGGCAGAAATAATTTTTAACAACGATCAGAAATATTGACGCTTTATATTGCATTTGGTTTTTGATGAAAGGTGTGTTTTGAAAATGGAGATAACGAGTAACGAGTAATTGAAAATGATACAGCGTATATATCTTTCTGTATTCGAATCATTCAGAGACGAACCAGCCAAGGTGGGCATCATCAATTGGAGCAAAGCACATCATTTTCGTTTTATCGTCAGATCAGGATGAGCCTGAAGCGTGGTAGCTCGCACCACGTCGCGATCATGAGGAACATGCAAAAAGGCGTTAAATGTTCGACGCCGGGCACCATGACGTACGCACGGTATATCGAAATCAATATAAATTATTCATAACCGTCCGTGATCTTTGATGTCTGCGTATAAACGAGCGAATCTAAAGCTTCAGATCTGAAATGTGGTCAGATTTTATCAAATCACATGACGTTGCAAAGCAAATTATTAACGATTTTATCACGAAGCCGATCTTATGCAGAAATAATTTTAAAGGATACAAATCTATCGATGGGAATTAATGTGTTTAATAATGTGATGTGAAGGTAGAATAATGTTTCGAACATTTTAGTATGCTATACGAGTTTAACAATCTTTTTTAAATTATTACTTAGTTATTTTTTATGAATGTAATAATAATGCATTTGTAAACTCAATGAAATAAGATTCGTAACAAGGAACAAATTAAAGATTAATGTTTTTAAGAAATTTTCATTATTCTTATTATTACCTATTCATTTAACATTGACGTGCTTCATAAATTCAATTATAATGCTACTTAAATATAATAAAATACTCAACTTTCTAATAGAAAATCTAACACCGCACACTATTCGCACTAATTCTGTGCAACATGCGTGCATTTATTTCTATTTTGTGTGCGAAGGAAGTACAATCGCTGAGAATCAAATAAAATAAAAGAATTATATCACAAACATAACTAAATATTGTGAAGATTTGACAAGGCAAATAATGTGGACACGTGTCTATCGCGACCTATTATTTCACGAATCTCTTCCATTTCTGCATTTGCTCGTCTTATTACGTCATCTTAGTAAGATTCTTTTTAGTACTGCCTGAATTTTGTCGGACGTTGAACAGTAAGCCGTATATTTAATTAATTGATAAAATGTAATCTTTAAATACTGCCACTTTCCTAAATCACTAATATTAGAATACAGGTCTATGGGTATGCTTGAATTCAACTCGTGGTAGTATTTAACGATTAACGATTTAGACACCGATTTTTCAATAGTTTAAATCATATTCTGCGACTAGCGACTGACTCTTTTCGAGTACACTGAATCACGAAGCAGACAATGGATTTTCGTTATAAATTCACACACATGTTACTGTCATAAAACGAATAGTGTATTATTTTCTGTAATATATTTATCTTTAATGTCTGCAAGGTATCGTAGGAGCTATATTTGATTAGTTTTTGCATTTTCTATTACTCTTTTTTTTTATCACTAGTTCTTGGATACCAGTCCACATTGCGACTAAAATGACTCTTGGATACTCAAATGAAATTATTATATATACACAGCATGTGTTATATTTGGGAATGGAAGTTGGGTTGAGAAGTCACATGTGTACGGCAATCGATAGCGATGGACTAGTTGTATCGACTTTAAAGCTTGATACTTCATGCATTAGATTTAAGCGAGATATTCGACGCCTTTTTCCTCTTAATTGTTAAACTACAATCTTCGACGTCAATGTTGTTAGAAGGGATATCGTTAATGAGGACTTACGACTCCTAGTCCATTCCTATCTCTGTCGTTTCGAAACTACCACCTAATAATATTAGTTAATTTCAGTAACAGAGCGTTTAATTGTGTTGTCACGAATGGATTGTCACTTAACCAAGATGTTCGGCAATATATAAATATACATATATTATTACTGATATTATTTAAATAAAGTAATTATTCTTACGTTTCTTATTGCTGTTATCGTCGTGTGGTTTATAATATTGGCCCTCGTGCATTATCACATTTCTCACTGCATCGTCTTTTTATTCAGTCACATATTTTTCGATATTAAATCATAAAAATATATATGTTAAAAATAGCACTCTCTGTTAAATATGCAAAAGCTTTATTGAAGGTCAACGTTTAAATTGTTAAAACATTTATCGTTATAAAACATTAAATCGACCATCTGAAGAATTATTATCTGTAGTATTTTATAATCCTCTTGCACCCCCCCCCCCCGATTCACTTTATTTTTGCTTTATTTTATCGAGTTTCTTATCCTAGTTTTTTTTATTTATCTCCCTTTCAGACTCACCTGTAGACAAGCGAACATGGAGATAGTTATAAAAAAAGTGAAAAGAGAGAGAGAAAGAGAGCGAGACAGACATGATTGCAGAACACAAATACGATTGGCCTGACGGGCAGTTAATGCATTTATAAATCTCTGGTATTAGTATAAAAATGGCATTAGGATCATTAATGTAAGTTCAAATATAGCAATAAGCTAGTGTGCTCGGAACTGTATACACTGAGAGAAAAATTTATTTAATCTAGATTCCATTTTCAAGCAACTAAAAGAAAATACCGCAAGTACAAAATAAAAAAATAAATAAAAATAAAATTATAATATGTTGTAGCATACGCCACTCAAAAAAAGATGTTCCTTTCGATGATTTTTGTTACATGTTATCCGAAAAATTCTAAGAAAAAATGTTTATTAAATATTATTTGTTGTGTAATTTTTAGGCAATATGTTATAAATTTTTAATATTTAACACAATACAAATTTCGAAGTTATCTAAAAAATATCTTCGATATACATCATGCGTGTAAGAATTAAGGTAATTGTTTTCAATTATTTTTTCATATTTTTAGTCTGTCATCTAAAGAAACTCGAGATGTTTTCGAATTTTAATTGTCTCGATCTGTTTTCGGTAAAGAGTACATTACGCTTAAGTTATTTATTTTTTTTTTGCTACCGCGTACTACCTGTTTAAAGGTAATTTCGTGGCTATCGAGTATATGCAACAATAATCGCCTCCCGAAATTGATTTGCAAAGTTTTCGTATATTCGCATCTTTATCGTTCTTAATAATTCTTTAATAATGATTTATTTAAATCTCTTATTTTCAACTCTTATAGTTCCGATGTTATTGTACGCGTGAATGTATCAAGCAGCAGTGTTTTATCTACGCAGATCGTTTTCTTGGGATACATATTGTCCTGATTGCAGAAGATAATTTACCATTCGATAGTGTGCGCGTTTTCCGAGAAATATATATATCCGCGAATCCGCGACGAGCGCAGAGATCGTAAGTGCAGACACATAAATTGCACTGGAAGGTGTTAATGGTAACTAGCAATTACCTCAATTGATGTTGGCATAGATATTCTAATGCGAAGCTTGCCTCAATTGCCGCGAATTAATTGTCGTAACAGGCACATCGCTTCTGTTGCGTGTGCGTATCTCTGTCATTGAGATTATCAAATTCGTCACGATAATCGCGTCATCATGCCATATGTGTAAATACGCTTTCACGAAGCACACATTCTTGCATAAATCAGAGCGTTTTTGATCAAGCCCTATCGATCATCCATAATTTAGCCAAACATGTCATGTGTGCGATAATGTATCAATAGTATTGATAAGTATTCTTCTCTTATACATAACTATTATTTAAAAAAATTTATTTTAAACACTGAATTTTATTGTCGCACTTACGATCTCGCACCTTCCAGCGTTCGAATTTGAGTTTTATATGTGCTAATATAAGTGAATGTGTTTTTTTAAATTTCTTGTTCACGCAGTATCAAAGTTTATAGTCTCTCGAGCTACAAAAAGCGAGGTACCCCGCGCGAATATGATCTAATTTACGGCAGCCAATGATACTCGTAGTCCAAAAATAATTCGAAAGGATTTTCGAATAATAGGTTTAAATTATAGAAAAAGATATCATTAGGATAATATAAGCATAGTGATGCAATAATTGGGAAGAATAAGCGGAACACGGTTATTGACCTCTCAATATTGTGATGCTAATTTATCCGATTATCTGCCTTTATCTCTTTTATTCCAATTCTATTCAAAGTATTCTAATGTTGTCCTAAATCCAAATGTTTAAATTAAAGCTTGGGAAGATAACCATAAAATCGCAAACAAGTAAAAAGTTCAGCATAAGAAAAAATAAATTGCAAGTTACATTACAAATTATATTATTAGATTATAAATTATATTAATTATATCGTACATTCTTTTCATATACAAATGCAACAAATATTTATAATTTTTGTCTTAAAAACCATTTAACGCTGTTATTTTTACTAATTGTTCAATTAATACATCACATAATTCATTGTATGAGAGGTCAATAGCTCTACGCAATATAGTAAATTTAATATATATATATATATATTATAAAATATTAATAAAATTTAATAATAGGAAATATAAAAAGAAGAGTCTTATTACGGTTTCACGTATCGCTCCAATATGGAATAATAGATGAAATGTAATGTGCGATTTAAACGATACTTATGTAAGAACTCGGCACGTAACTTGGAATCATCAAGCGTTGTCTCGACGTTCGTTCTGTACATATTTATAGAAAAATATCGTCTGCATGTATAAAAAAATATATATATATATTTATATATATATATATATATATATATATATATATATATGTGTGTATAAATATAAATTATACACATCTACCAAGACATAGATATATTTATGTAGAATGTTCGGCAAAAAGCGTGTTTTCGTGAACAGATCGGTACTCCTCATTAAAGCAAAATACTTTTTTAACAGAAATGTCAGTGTGTTATAATTTTTTTTTTTATTTTTAGCGAGCAAATATAAAGTGAATTTAGTGATTTCAATTTTCAATAAAATATATAATTCTGTTCATCACAAATACGCTTATTGTCGAGCACCCTCTATAGCCACGCGATCATGCGTGGAGTCTTGCATTTTCTTTTCTGCGATCTTATCGCGATATCTCGATACCTCATTAGGCGGATACATTAGTCCAGCCCACTGATGTATGATAATGAAGAATAAATTATTGTTGCGTTCTATTTATTTATAACGGAAATAAAATTGTCTTTTTTGTTTACCCGTCAAAAAAAGACCTGAATCTATCCTGTCATATGTGCAACATAATACTAAGCAATTTATTATATTATCGACGAATATTTTTAGGTAAAAATTATTATTGAATCACAGATTGTATGTCATAAATTCCACGACAGAACAGAAGGTGAGTATATGAAATAATACATCAGAAAAAGCATGAACACAACGTAAAAATTTGTCGTATAATTTCATATCACGATGCACTAGCACACAATCCGGCTTTTTAAAATCTGTCTATTCAAGAAAATAATGATATAATTAATATTTATCGCATTAAATATTCCGTGTAAAGCCGACGAATTTCATCATTATCGTTATTAATTAAGATAATTCAACATAATAGTGTTCGATATGCGTCGAAGAAGCTATCTGCGAAATTAACGAAGCAGGATCTAACGAGATGGTGACTCAACTTGCCTGTAAAGGCTTACATCGATGAGACAGAATTAGGACGAAGTTTCAATTTGCAATTGATTGCAATATATTCTGCATAAGGTAAGTGTCATTTTTCAATGTATATTGCTGATCGATAAATTATATTTTAGTCAGATCATTGATTCATAAGGCGAAATTAATCAATCGCCCGATTGATGAAAATGTCATTTTACACCGTGTAATTTACTTTCACTCGAAATATTTTGAATGTAAAAATATGGCAACACGTTGTTATATAACGCTCAGTTCCGTTAAAAATATTTTCTTAATTTGCGGAAGACCTACTTTCCGAGTTTCGAGTTTATCAAGTAATGCATCTGGGAAGTAAGTGGCTTGGTCCAAGAATAATTCTTCCATTCGCAATTATTAGAACCCCTGGAAGTAAGTGGTTTCCATGCCAAGCGAGACTATGATCGCGTTTTCCTAATTTGTAACGGATCGTAATCGCGTACTTTCTCAAACGTTCCGTGCTAGATTCGCGCGTATCTCATCCCGGTGTGCAGTGGAACGACAAGCTCCAAAAACCTTCTAAGACCTAGCGCACTACGAGAAAATATACAGATTTATTGCTTTAAGAGCATTAAATCTTATAAATGTATAATAAGTTTATTGTTTCAAGAATAGTAGAATTCCTTGTCGCATGTGCTTTATTTTAATATAAAGCTATGCTAATTACTTGAGTGTTGCGTTATTGAGAGTAGAAGTATTACATGGTGCTATTTATTTCTAAATAAAAGACGACAGATCTAAATATAGTTTGTATTTTAAAATATAACTTTGCACACGCTATATTAAGATTGCGTATTGGAAAACGCGACAAGCAGACGCCTCGTATTTATCGACTTCGGACAAACATGTTTAAAAAACGTACTCAGGCGAGTATACTCGAGCAAATGCTTCAAGAGACTTGACCGTATATGAGTCAAGGCTGCCGAGAGACCCTTACCTACTTTTTCCTTTTATGGTATCGAACCGGACCGATGACTGTAACTGATGAGATATAACGGCCAATCTTACGCAAAGCGCGTGTCGTGCGCAAAAATTCGTGCAAATTGCGACGCGGCTGTTTGATTAATCGCAAATCTTTTTTTTGTGCAATTCCGTTAATGCGTTTTAAAAAATAAAATCAATCATTCTAGAAAGTCACACTCGTTGCCGCAGAACGCACATAGTTTAATATCGCTCGATTTCAAGGTAACGGTTTTGATCGTAAATCGAATTATCGTCACACGATTGTAAAAAGAAGAAGAAAAGCTGAGAATCCGAGTCATAATGGATTGACCATGACACGAGTTAATTCAAGGAGATCGGGTGAGGTATACGTTGACCCGAATGCCAAAATTAACAGCGCTGCCGATTCCTAGCTTTTTATTAAAACGAAGGTATCATTTTTTTCGAGGGTCTACATCAACCTTCTTTTGCCTTCTTATACTCTCACTCCGTTTATAGACAAATCCTGACTCGATGGTTAAATGTCATTCACATGATAATCTCTTTATACGAGTGACTCATGATATGAACGATGTTATCGATGTACTTGATAATTGTATAAGATACAAATGTAATAAAAACAAATTGTAAAATATAACGTGTTTATCAAGTTCGTTATTATATTATATATTAGTAAAAAAAATTAGAAACTATTTATTCTATATTGATTTTATATTTGTGCTATTTCTTTTTTTAGATGAAGAATCAATAAAGTCTTGAAGTCTTATCAATAAAAGCCTAAATTTTCAATTAGATGTAACTGAATATTATTTTAATAAAAAATAAAGTAATTTTAGTGATTTATAATGACAATATATGCAGTACCATCACAAAAATTTATTAATTAATAACCGATTTCAAAATCATAAAAAAGCTATTGGCAAATGATAGAGCTAGGATTTCTATATGACTAAAAATAGTGATCTGCTGAAAGATACGTATTTTTATGTTGAGTTACTTTCCAGCAAAACCTGTCAAAATTATCGCGTGGAACAATCGCGGGCGTTCCTTATAAATACAAAGTATCGTTTAGAGTATTTCGTTCTGACTTTGATTCCGTTCGAGTTTCACCGACTCTTTTCTACGTGAACTAAAATCGCTCTGCGGCCGAGCAAATAACGCTCAGCTCGTGCTTTTTTTTCTGTTCCGTTTTCCGTAGTATCCTGAATTCTCCCGCATCGAACATCCTCGAAATAAAGCGCTCAGCGTGCACGCATTTACGCACATCCGACGTTTGCGCGTTCGTGATCTAAAGATAATACGCCGCGGCAGCGTTTTCACGAATTCGTATATAAAGAAACGAGGGATATATGCTGCTGGTGGCACACGATAATGGTAGGGATCGCATACGGCCTATGTCATCCTCGACGATCTCGAGGAGTACCGCGAGAAAGTGGGAGCCGCTGCGAGTTCTGAGCGCCTCTCCGTCACCCAGTCGTGACTTAGCCCGCAGGTCGGACGCATCTCGAACGACGAATACGAACGTGAGTACTTACGTGTGAGTATCCGTGGTACTCTGTATATATTTGATCGAGAAGAACCGTGTTGTGAAACACGAATGCTACAACATTAACATCCGCCAGGAAACCGCGATCGTCTTGCAAAAAAAAAATCTTCTCTGCGGGAAGAAGCATGGTATCCGTGTGTAAATAGTGATAAGTAATATTTTCACAAGAACCTGTTTGTTGTGGCAACATATTCAGCAGACAACTTGTAAATGTCACTTATCATCGTTTACATACGAATTATCCACTTCAGCAGATTTCGTTAAATTATAATAAATACGCGCATGAAAAACGAATATTCTTGCGATTTTTACAGAGAACAATTAAAAGTTTGGTACGTACAGAAACAACACTATTTTCTACGGAAAAAATTTTATAAAAAGATTGATTATCTGTAAAGAACAGAAGTGAATCTTCAACTCAACGATAATTAAATTTCAGTTCACGTAGAAAAAAGCGACTTCGAGTCAGTATGGAATTCGCAATTCTTTCCGAATTATTTTTAAGATCGAAGATCGGTATTCGTGCATTTATATTTCGAAGAGAAAGAGAACCATCTTGTGATTATAAAGTATATTTCTTTCGTATTTGAATGCATAAATTAAAGAGGAATATTTTCTGTGTACGCTTCGCAAAAATTGCAACGTATGAATATTTTTACAGAATCTTAATTAGGACAATAAAGCATCCGTCAAAACATGCATACGCAATGCATACGTAATATGCATAACCAAAATAAAAATATAGTAATGTCCAACTTTTTGCAAAGTACGCAAAATACGTGTAAAGAAACTCGCTGTCACTCTTTTAAATAAATTTGAACAGTGTGTAAATGAGCTTAAGATAAAATATTGAAAAATAGAAAAACAAATTTACGTGCATAAAAATTAAAAACTTGAATGTGATTTATAGAATACGATTTATTATCAATGAATTAAATTAATATGCCAATATGTGAATATAACTTAGTTAGTTTATTTAGTTATTGATTTTTATTGGATCTGGTTTTAGTATTTATTATTTATATACAACTAAATTTGTGTATGTTATGCATAAATTTGGGCATTACTATACGTATAATAGAAAAATTCACTCACCAGTGTTGCATCGACATCAGCTATACCTGAAACAATTTTATGAAGTTATTAATTAAAATTTAATAATTATATTTTGTACTATATCTGATTATAATTCTTAAAATTTATTAATTTAGTTAAATTTGTTATTATAACTAGAAACAAATCAAAATTATCTTAATTTAATATTTCAAAATAATTTGTTTTCCACAAAAACTAAATGACTTTGGCTGACAACATTTTTGTAGCTATTTCTTTATCGTATCAGTTAACTAATTTTAACAATTGTTTGAAGAACAAACTGAATTTACTCACCAGTCGATGTTCGTTGTCCGGCCTCGCCAGCTTTTGCATTCAAGTTGACATCCGGCCGAGGGCAACTCCAATCTTGAAGACACTTGCGATACACATCGACCGGAAAACGTGACTAATTACGATTGCGCGCGATATATTAATAACTATCTCCTGATACTTTCGACACTCCCGTTTTTCCGCACTCCCGATTTTCGTTACTTTCGATTTTTGACACTCTCGCACACTTCGGATTTTCGGAATTTTCGATATACGTTATCGCGATCATCGTCCGCAACATTCGCCGCCGTAGGCGCGAGTAAAAGTACACGGGATTGCGATACGTATCCAACTTTGCAACACAAAGACATGAAACAAATATACAACTTGACCTTCAATGAGCCCTGTAGACACGCCGGCCGGCACAATGTGCACAGCTATGTCGAAAAATACAACTGATTAAAAAACACAGCGCACGATATATTATAAATTTCCTAAAAAACTCTTCTCTTTATATTTTTCTTCTAATATTTTTACAATTACTTCAAAATCAGCAATTATCGGTCCATAAAAAGATGATAATTGGCTAAATAGTTGAATTTATTATTATATTTATTAGTAAAAGTTAAATATAAATGTAAATTCAAATAATAATAAATATATTATTGCAATGTATTTTGTTCCTTGTTTGTCAAACTCGGAGAAATCTTTGTTGTATAAAAAATTAATATTGCTAATATAAGCTAAAAGATCAATCAATATTGCAGAAAGAATGCACGTTATCTCTGAATATTAATACTAAATATACTAAAAAATACTCTGTCAATTACTATAAATTATTATAGCTATAATTATTATAGATAACTCACGTAAAAGTTGCGAATCGCTCAAATGAGATTGAAATATTGCTATTAAATATTGAACACACGCAACTAATTACAATAATATAAATATATGATATAATAGTTGGTATTTTCGACATTTATTTTTATCTGCAATTCATTTTTTACGTACAAAGTTAATAAGAAACACACGCGATTTCGATACATCCTGATGTTAATAATTCACGGTGTACAATAGCGTGTGAAGTTTTATTTGATTGCAACTCATTTGCAGCAGATACTGAAACATTCGAGTCATATATCGTCATATTAATTGATGCAATAATCGCAAGTCATTTTGTTTGGCACTATTACAATTCATTATTACGCGATTCGCTTTTTAGATTAACAGAAAGAGATATTTCTTAACAGATCTTAACAGATCTTTCTTAACAAAAAGAGATATTTCTTGTACCTTATAATTTCAATATCATAGAAAAATTTTTTCATCGATGATATACGCAATGAAATAAATAACATGATTTTAACTTTACATCGCATTATTCAATAGAAATTTCAATATCGTTACAAACTTTGAAAATATATGGCTACTTACTATAATTCGGCGTATAGTCTTGCGGCACATTCATCTTCAGTCGCAGTTTTTACGATTGAAATCACGAGAAATACATGGAGCGATTTCGGTGTGTCTTGACGCTAACAATTTGCGACGCAAAATGGCTTTTATGGCGCAAAATTTTCATTGATTGCGATTCATATGCAGTAGCGCTGAAACATTCAAGACATATAATATTGCCAACTTAATGAATGCAAAAAATGCAAGTCACATTTGGTCACTCTCAAAATTTGTTATTACACACAATTTACTTTTTAGACATGGCAAATAGCAAGTTTTTAATGTACTCTACTTTATTTATATTGTATAAAAAATATTTTTTTGTCGATAATATGCTAGGCGAGAGATAACCTAGCTTTTTAATTGTACTTTACATCGTTAGACAGAGACTCAAATATTATTACAAATATTGAAAATATGCGATCACTTACGATAATTCGGAATAGAGTATTGCAGCCAGGATATTTATTTTCAGTTGCACATTACTTTTTACGGATGAAATCCTGAAAAATACATGGAGTGATTGCGGTATATCCGAACACGACTCGCGGCGCGTAATGGCTGGCGCAGGAAGTATTGTTCGATTGCGATTTACATATATCGAATGTCGATTCGATAATTGATTCGATATCAATTAAATTTATATGTTGGTAAAATTGCTTTCTTAACCCAAAATATTCATAAACAGTTTTATTTTTTACACATAATCAGAAAGATTTTTAATCAGTTTTAACGAGACTTTCTTTTAATAGAAATTTAAATGTTTCTCTCCGTAAGTACCTAACGTTTTAGAAGTTTCATTGTGACTTTGACTTTGCCCGAATTTTGCCAACGGCCGAGCATTGTGCCTTTTTCTACTCCTGGCTGTTTTCCTCGACATTCTGAAATTCCCTCTCGCCGATTATCGTGAAAATAGAGCGCTCGGCACGTATGTCGTTCGCGCGTCCACGATCTAAAGATAATTCGCGGGCGGTGGCCTGGTGTACATTTTCACGGCTCCGGACGAGAGATATACGCCGATGGCACGTAACAGTGGTAGGGATCGCGGGAAGCCTATATCGTCCTCGGCGATTTCGAGGAGCATCGCGAGAAGGTGGGAGCCACGGTGAAGCGAGTTCTGAACGCCTCTCCGTCGCCCAGTCGTGACTTAACCCGCAGGTCGGACGCACCTCGGACGACGAATACGAACGTGAGTACTTTCGCGCGAGTACCCATGTGGTATCTTATACATATTTGATCGAGACAAGCCGTATTCTGATCAAGGAGCACGCTACTGCATCACTAACGTCCGCGAAGCAACCGCGATTGCCCTGCATTTTAAATAGTAAAATAAAATTTTTTTTGTGGAAAAAAGTGTAATATTCTTGTGCAAATAGTGGTAAATGATATTTTTGCAAGATCTTGTTTGCTATAATAAGATATTCAAAAGATAACTTGTAAATGTCACTTACTATCGTTTACATACGAATTTCCCAGTTTAGTAAATTCCAATAAATTTTATTTAAGTAAGTATACTTATAAAATTAGTATACTTGTAAAGGACAAAAATCTTCGCGATTTCCTAGAAGAACTTTGATGGTGTGCATAAAAAGACTATTATTTTCCATGGGAAGAATTCCACGTACAATGAGAGTGGTTGACCTGTAAAGAATGGACTTATCTTCAATTCAGCAAGGATTTGATTTTAGTACACATAAAAAAGAACGCTTTGATTGAAGTAGAATACGTGATTCTTGTTTAAATTATTTTTAAAACCGGAGATCGGTATTCAGGTTTCGAAGAGAATTATTTTAAAAGTGTCGCATCAATAAATCATACTACCGAACATTAATATTGATACTATTGTATAAATCAATCTTAATAGTCTCGAACAAACAAGTAAACTTTTAAAATGCGATAAGAATAAAACATTGCTAGGTCAGGTCTATAACTAATGACATTTAAGACTCTTCAAGTTAAAAAAATAATTTAAAGTTTTTTATGAGCAAAGTTAATATGTAAAAATCATACATAAATTCTTTTAACAAAACAGCAAAAATCTTTGAAATTTTACGACGTCATTTAAAGAATCGATATCACTTAACTGTACCTTGATGTAGAGATATCACATGGAAGATAAATGATTATATGCTGCCATCTAAAAGAATGAATTAATCATCATTAAACAATAAATGACGTATGTCACTAGGGATAAAAAGTGAAGTAACTCAATTATTGCATCGACGATGAGCACACATTAGCTTCGTTCTTATTTTAGAACTCGTTGAACAAAATCGCACACACTAATATGCAATTATCAAACGTGTCATATAAAATGTAAATTACGTTTTTAAAATTTATAGAACTTCTTAAAAAATAAATTATACTTGTAAGTAAAATTTGACAGTAATAAATTATTATCTAATTATATTATTTAAAGTAAAAAAATACTACACAAAGCACAGCTACTAAGTTTGTGAATTAGTTATTAAAAGTGCTATGTATTTAATTTGTATTACATTTAATAAAATGGCACATTTATAACTCATGATCATAAAAAATAAGTAAAATGTTTTCGCAGAAACAGAATACGATATCACGATAACGGATTGCCATAAACTAAGGTCTTACCTTCCGGAATGCAGTGACTCATAAAGATATTTTTTTCATGTTCACATTTAACCGCTGCGACAACATTGTTCGCACTTCCGATCTCGTTCCTTCGTGATACAGATATGAATCTTTTTCATGCATTCGATGACATTGTCAAGCCAAGCGTGTTTTATCTGAGAAATAAGCCAGTGTTACTAACAATTTACAATATATGTTATCATGAAAAAAAAAATATTGCCACTTCAATTATATATATTTAGAATTATATCATCAAAAATATTGATGAAGTATTGATTATAATCATATCAAGTTTCTCTGAAAATAATTGTGTTTCCAAAACAGAATTCAGATAAAAAATAGTAAATCCAAAGTATAAGAATAAAATAAAATTTTCCCATTATCACGTAATCTAATAGAAAGAATCTAGGTCTGCATAATATAAGACAAAATTAATAAATATAGTAAACTTTTCTCTGGAGTTAATAATATGAAGAAATTACGTCTGTAAAAGCATAAGCTGAAAAATTTTTTCCTAACAATACTTAATATATAATAATTTTATTTTTCTTTGCCTATTGTTTTGTAATTGAAAAAGTAAACATTATCAATTATCAGTTTGAAAAAATAAGCGATTGATCGGCACGCGTGCAATAATTTTTCCTCCAAGCGTAACAGGACACCGCTGAGTTAAGTTACTTGGTCGGTGCGTTTAGGAGTCAGCGATGTCCGCTATGCGTAACCCGAAATGGTTCGGCCGGCAGCAGGCGGCAACGATTCTTGCCGCTCTCTCTCCCTCTTAATGTGTAAAAATAACCATCGGTCGCGATACGCGCGTTTTTGGATCTGTGGAGCATACATCTCGACAAATCAAATTTCAGTAGCCTTCTTCGATTCCACTTTCGATCTTGTGCGAATAAGTAAACACGCGAATTTTTTTTTATCATGTTTTTATTAATTATCATCATGATTATGACTCAGAATTTTTATTTATAAATTATTCTATCGACAAAGAGAATACAAGAGAGATCAAGCTCAACAAAATTCTAATCATTTCATAAACATAAATAATTATAATTATATGTGGTATATTGATAATAGCATGCCTCGTTTAATTTCGCAGAATCTTTCAGCTAGTGTTTCTGTTTCTTCGAACATCTGACAAACTCCATTTCCCTTTCGTTCCTCGCTTACCCTGCATCTCTGATTACCAACGAGCTTGGAATCCTGTGCATATTCGCTTGGGCAGAAGTTAGCAATGACGCGGAGATGCAGTTCCACCGTGCAATTTCAGTGGCGCAGGAATAGAATTTCTGTAATTTGATCTTCTCAAATAAAAGTTCTGAGTAATAATCATAATGTTAATCAACAAAAACAAGATAAAAAAATTTTTGTATATTTATATATCAACATTTCCCTGTTCTAGACAATAGATTGAAATAAATCATGATGATCCCACCATTGCATTTTAAACCATGTGACGAAATCATCTCAAAACAGTTACAAGTCTCTTTAAGTTTATTCGTAGCTACTTAAAATGATTTTATCGAAGGAGGTGAATGACGCGCGTGTCCCTGACGCATCTTCGTCCTTTTCGTGCCGTAGAAATGTCTCGTCGTTCGAGAATAAACCGCGGACGGATACTTGTTCCCGGTGTGCATGGGAATCGCATACCTGAGCAAGGTGACGTCACGAGACAGCGAAGCGTGGATGTTGATATCGCTCGTGCGCGCGCGAACCTTTCTTCACGGCCCGGGCTTTCCTCCTCAGCGAGAAGCCGGCTCTATAAATAGGATATCCGGTGACTCGCTAATTATACACCTATGCACGCCCATTTCCCGAATGGCGAATTTGCGCGAAAAGGGCCTTGGAACTTTCTTGATTTCGAGAGCGGCATGATCGACGCAAAAATCTCTTTTCCACGCCATAAGGGTTCCTCCTTCGTATCCTTGAAATACCGTCGTAAATTGCTGCGGAAGGATAACGGATCCGATCGCACGGACGATTGTGGTATATCTATCCGGTCGGTCAACATGCGAGGAGGTTGCAGGCCGCATACCTTTGCAGGGAAAGAAAATTGCTGTCTGTAAAAAACACAACATAATTAATTAAAGTGATTTAGGATTCAGTTAATGCAAGATAAAAAAAAGCGAAAATGCAAAGAGCAGAAATCTCATTGCTAATTGGATGACTTTATAAAAACTAATTAACGATCTTTTTTGACAATAAGTCATTATTAAATAAAGATAATAAATCTTTTTAAGTGCGAAATAGCGTGGCAAAATGCAACATTATTTTTTAGTTTGTGTTCATATAATAATTCTTGTCATCATAAAAAGCATTTTTGCGAAGAGCTAATACATTGCAATTATAATGATTTTAATTTAAATATTTTTTATAGCTCGCTATAATTATAAAAAATATATTTTGCATCGACATCTCAACTTGTATTAATTGGATATAAAACAAATATCGTTCTATTTCTTAATAAAAAAAATGTATCAAAAGGGCAGTAAAGTATGCATTTTTCAATTGACACCCGCACTTTTCGAATATTTGTTTATAATTGTATTATTTTGCAGATTTTCTTCTAGTGAACGAGTGAAGAGACACAAACGCCACCATGGACGCGATCAAGAAGAAAATGCAGGGAATGAAGCTGGAGAAGGACAACGCGATGGATCGCGCGTTGCTCTGCGAACAGCAAGCTCGTGACGCGAATGCACGAGCCGAAAAGGTAAACACAAAATAAATAAATAATTACTCGCCATACGGCCACAACTTGAGGATCGATTACGATCAGTTAAATTATGACGATGCATTCATAAACTAATTGTGATAGCGTCAAAAAATAATAAAATATTTTGTTTTATACAGGCTGAAGAAGAGGCTCGTGCCCTCCAAAAAAAGATCCAGACCATTGAGAACGAGCTCGATCAAACTCAGGAGGCTCTTATGCAGGTCAACGCAAAATTGGAGGAGAAAGACAAGGCTCTGCAAAATGTAAGTTAAACAAATAGTATTATTACTAAACAAACAAAATATTCGGCATTGTTGCCTTAGTCAAGCAAAGAGTGAATTTAATTTATCAATTATTTTCTCTTAAATGGTTGATCGCAAAGATCAAATATTTGTACATTATTCGACACTGAACTTTACTTACGTTTTTTAAGTGTCCACTTACGTTCAGAGGACTCAGTTTACCTCAAACTATTTATATGTCTGTGAAATACGAAATCTAGAAATCAAAAGATTCTCCGATCTTTAAAATTGCGAAAAGGGTTATTTGATCTTCGCATTTCGAGGTACGATCAAACTTTTGAATAAGAAAAACAGGAAAATCTTTAAACTTTGTGCAGTGAAATGTATCTCGAGTAGATAATTTACCTAAAATAATCATCAAACTGTCATACTTACGAAAAACTTGGAAACTCGGTCTTAATTCGCATTTTAAACATTAATAACAAACTTGACAACCGGGGACCTCCTAACCCTAAGGGGACTGCAGCATCAGCAGTGATCCAAATTATCGACAATGCATAATGCATATAAAATGCAATCATTCGCCAATCGATGGCGTTACTTGCTTGCGCAAGCGCGACCTTCACCGTAGAGCGGCGCCTCCGCTCGTTCTTTGCGAACAGTCCGTTCGTGATACTCGTCGCTTCCGCTTCTCGGCTCGGAAATCTTCGGTTCTCCCTACCCACGTTGTTTCCACCGCGTGGAGGGGACACGCTCAAGGGAGACAGACACAGCGCGTGCAGTGCACGGCGCAGATCGTCGTGTCTCATGTCTTACGTACGCGTATGTTCTCGCGCGGCGTGTACGATACACAACACCGGTATACTGCACAACGTCGCATGTGACGCGGGGAGAGCGTGCACTACAGATCAGTGACAGACAAGATGGCGGAGTGTCTGGTGCAGTGGTAGTAGAGCGGTGCATCGAACTACGTCAACGTGTGTAACGAGGGTTAGGTGCAGCGGAGGCTTGACAACAGCTGGACGCAGCATGGAGCGCGCACTCTCGGCGACAACAAGACGCCGCGGTCACCAGCACCATCCGCGGCACACCACGCGACGACGTCTCGACGCTTCCAGCAGAGGACCCGCGCAGTGTGGCCCTGCTGGTACCAAGGATACCACCGCGTCCGCCGGCGATGAGACGTCGCTCGAGCGGACGGCGGTTGACGCGATCGAGAGTCGTCTCGGCACGACGGACCCTAGCTTATCAGCTGTACCGAAAATACTCGGTCCGCGGTGGTCGACGCGGATCAACGAAATCGTGACGAAGAACTCGAAGACCGATGCCATCGTCGAGGACGACGGCAGAGGCGAGGACGTCCGACAGAGGCTCGCGCAGTGTAGCCTGGACGTTCCCGCGCCTGGCGAGAGCAAGAACGCCGAGCGCGATGAGAGGACGAACGACCTGACAAGCAAGAAGTTGTCTTCTCGGTCCAGTCCACGTGGTACCAGCACTCCCGAAGAGGAGATGAGTCCGCGGAGCAAAACTAGCTCGCCCGAGCCTGAGCACGCGGTCGCGAGGGCTCGCGGCGATGGAAATTCGGACGACGAGTCGGCCAACGTCGAGGAGGACCCCGAACTGGCGGAACTGGCCAAACTACGTTGTCCCAGCGAGCGAACGGAAGTCCAGGCCGAAAGGGAGGCCCGCAGGCGAAAGAGATGCGCCGACTATCCAGGACTCGCCTTCGGCTGTTCTATATTCTCCAGCGACACGATGATGAAGTTCAGTCTGATAAAGAATGAACTGCAGAATATCATGGGCAATCAGCTGAAAAGGGTCAGTATCGCTGTGTAACAATAAATGATGTGCGGGTAGGTAAACGCGGTTTCAAGGTCATCGCGTGGCGAGACTTTTGATAGCGTGGGTCAAGAGGTCCTCGGGGTTGGGTGATAATTCGGCAAAAACGGTAACCCTGAAAACTTTTTCCTATCCTTGAAAATTTTTATCCTAAAGAATTAATAATAATTTAAACCATAAGCTTAATAAAAGCATAAATTTGTGCTTCACACTGATGATCAATTGAAGGAGATGAAGCGTAGATAAAGATAGTATATAACATTTGTAACAATTTAGAATCATTGCGTTCAAAGAGAACAGATGACCGCGGTAACTCAATGTTATTAGATCTTTCATTATAGCGATAACATCTTGAAACATTACTAGTACATTAAGCTGTTCGTTCTCTCTGAACACTATTGCAACATTCAACTGATAATATGATATGATGCAGTGTAAAATAATACTTTCAGTAATACCTCAAATTTTACAAGCTTGCAATGTTATATCCTTTATCTATTTATCTACCGCTTCAATTATTGATTGGTTGATTTTTAAAAAGCTAATGAAATTATTTTTCAATTTTTTGTTTATGACAGCTTGAAAATACTGTTGTCATAGTGCAAATTACAGGTTATATAAACATTGTCATTGATAAGTATCATGAATAAACGAACGCGATTCTGAAGGTTTACAAGAAAAACTCAAATTATTAGGTAACCAAAACAATTCGTGCGATTTTAAATTCAATATGAAAAACCGCATGAACTTTTTTAGTTGCCTGATAATTTGAGTTTTCGCATTTTATTAAAAATGTAAAATAATTTCATATTTGATATCGACACATGCAAATAATATTTGAGAATTTCATACATAGGTTGTTTTTCAGATTTAAAAGTTTACGGAAAATAATTTAACAGTCTTTTTGCACAGTGCTTAAAACTGTGATCTGAGAGAACAAAGACTATTCATATTTTATTGATGTCAATGAACGTCACAATAGTCGAATCAGCAGTCTTATCGTTAATTACAATTAATATCACTTATATGGCGTAATGTTACTTTTTTTGGACGGATGACAGATCTGCAGTTAAATGAAATGAAATAAAGCAGAAAAACAAGTTGACTTTGCGCATGTCACATTACGAATGCGAATATAGTAGGTGTTATTTGCAATTAAAATTACGCGAGAATTATCGTAGTCATTTCCATTCGCGAGAATCGCGAAAATATGGAGCATGAGTTCAAGAGTTATCTTCTTAGATAGCGAAATGTTAGCAATGTTGACAGATTTTATCAAATTTTATCAATTTTCCAACATTGCTAACATTTTGTTTACTAGGTTTTGCAACTCTTAAAGAAGATTTACATGAATAGAAGCTTGAATTATTTGAATAATTATAGAATTATTTAATTATAAAATTTAAAATAATATCATATTTTTTCGAGAATCAGCCTGTATCTGACATGTTGAACAAACGAAAAACGAAGACAGATGCGAATACTAATTATCGTAATTAATGATCTGATAAATGATGAAATCGAACTGACATTCTATATATGTCGTCACGGCAGCAATGGGGCAACAATTGAAAGATTGGATAACAAAGTGGTGTAAGCTAATTTATGTAGGAAACTGAATTAAGTGCCTTATTTTAATAATAGTGTAACATAAAACATCTGATCTTCCAGAGTAAAGAAAGATAAATGTATTGTGCTTTTCTAAAATCTTTCAATGTATAGCTCTAATATTTTACGACTATTCAAGGATTATTTTAGGATCAGAAATGTTTTTTGTACCTGAGGACCCAGCTTAGCAACGAGAGTAGCTCAGGTGTTATCCGAATTCGTAAATATTATTCGGTGTTTAATTTTATTAGTTATTTAAAATTATTATTGTCTCAAAAATGATCTGGCAAAATGAGCAAATTGATAATTCTCGATTTTTGAATGCACCAATGAAATTAATAGCAACAATAAAAATTCTATTACGAGAAACACTTTGGGCGATAACCGAGAGAAGCTTTAACGATACAGTTAGCGCGAGATCCTCTTGGCGACAAGCGGCATTTATTATTAGGGTTACTGAACGGGAACAATGGGTTACACGCGCAATTCTCTTGCCCAATACAATTCTCTCCGGTAGAAAGGCCGTCAATCATTAGATAATGCATCACGTACCATCAATTTTAATTGTCAGATCGTTAGCTTCAATATTTTTATAATTTTTTTCATCGGAATTAATACGTTTTATATTCTTGTTTTATCAATGTTTGAATTTTATCAAAAGTTCTAAGTCCACTTTGCTTTTTACTAGATAGCGCAAACTGTGAATTCGAGAAAGTTAATCTGTTTTCTCTGGGGGTTTCTTTATGAAGTAGAAAATAATGTATTACGTCGCACTGTGTCTCACACTGTGTCCATTGTTATTCACGATCAGTTACATACATCCTATTTAATTTCTCCATCATCATAAATGCATCGTGCGTTATGAATTTTAACTTGAAGACGTCAGTTCACTTCTCGCAGTTTTCTTCACGACATTAAAATTCAAACATCATGTCGCTCTACGATCCATATTTTATCAATCGTTGTTCATGAAAAATTTATGACTATATCGTTAAAGAATGTATTACACGTGAAATAAAAGACGGGAAAACATGCAACAACTTTAATTTTTCGGGAATGTATTTTTTATGTGCCTGATTTTTTTAACTATCTAATCATTGAAGGTTTTAAAACGCGGATCATTTTTTATTCTAATAGAGTAATGTAAAATATTTAATAACGAAATTAAAAATAAACCGACGCAAAAATATCTTTCTCGCTTGCGTCAACGTCTGCCTTATATTGAAGCATACCAACCGCGTATAATGGAGTATACCGCATTACGGTATATCGAATGAGATATTAAAGTACGTTACATGGTGCCTCGATATCATCCGGGATCGTGACACTCGTCTTGCTCGTATTGCATAAAAACCAGTTTCAAGAGAAAAATAACAGTAAAAACAAATTTAAAAAAAAAACTTCTTTATTCAACAATTTGCCGACCGTGCAAATTGTTTATATGACATTGAGATTCTCGATTTAGAAATTCTGTTGAAACATTTAGAAGCATTTGAGTTCCATTGACAAACATTATTTTTGATCGCGAGAGAGTTAAATTTTGATTCCCCTCGTCTGACTTCATTCCTGTCTGTTTTGCTTCTCATTCAATTAAATCTCTCGACGGTGATTGATGTCCCTTACTCGTCGTTATCGGACAATGGGAACCCACGGATCCCCTACGGGATGCTCTCCTCGGCGATGCTTTCGTCGTTCCTTCTTCGGTGCCCCGCCCTTTTGCATGTGAATTCAGCGCGTCTGTGCTTAAGCTAACATCCGACGATCCGACTCGTCACATTCTAAAAATACGTGACGGCCGTGATCCAGCGAGACTTTTATTCGGGAATGCGCGGGACCGGATTGCGTAAGCTCTCACTTCGGGAGCCCGTGCGCGAATAAATCCGGCGCGTTATGCGCCTCGCGAACGCACCGCTGAAAATCCCGGCACTGATGCAAAACGCCCACGTTGCACCGCGAATTTGGAACATGCGCTCCATTCCGCATTCTGCGAGCGAAGAGCTTTCAAAATTTGTTTGCTCGTTTTCTTCGCGTTAAATAAAATTATCAATGCTGAAATTATAGATTATCTTCATTTTATCATTTTCTGAAAGTGATTACGTCTTTCTAAAGAATCCAATGACGCTAATTTGGGTAACCATATCTCTAAAGCACGAAACGAAACGCTGAAAAAAAAACAGCAACGATCAAATGTTCATCATCGTGAATAGAGGACATATTATCTCCACGAAATACCGTTACGAAACGCCCACGCCTGATGCGGGAATTTGGAACGCGTGCTAATTTCGACTTTATTCATCGCGCGACGACCTTTGGAGAGTTCTTCTTTCTCCTGGGCTGTTCTCTTCCTCTTATCGGCCGATATTTGCACGCCGCATTCCGCGATTTCTCGCTATTTCGACACGCTACCATCTACGATCGTTGTTCGACAGCCGCGTGATTTATGACAAATGGACGTTCTTTCTTCGCTAGGTGAAAGCCGTGACGTTCATTATCGGTGTCTTGCAAACAGCTGTAGGTCTATTCTATTCGGTTTGCTTTTTTATGAACTTTTTACCTTAAGATAAAAGGAGGGAGAAACCGGCTGGAAAAGCAGCTGGAAAGGATAGATTTTATGATTTCTTAACAGCATTGGACCAGTGCCAAGTTGAATACCAGTGAAGAAATAGATGTGAACATTTCGTGTAACTTCGGGTTGACGAAGCTTGGCCGGAAGTAGCATGTTAATGCGTCGAATGTATTATTTGCTTACGTAAAGTTAACTTAGGATCGATTGGATTAATCCAATTTCACAGATTGTCCGTGCAAAACGATAACGAGACGCATTACATAAATACTAGAATTTCTTTAAGCAAAACAGATTCGTGAAATTAATATTATAAAACTTGACGAGATTAATATCGTTGTACATTATTCAGCGTGAAATTAATAAGTCGAAGCTCTTGAAAGGAGAATTTCGCAGCGCATTAGGAAAAAACTAATTGTATACTACAATCATAAACGTTACATAAATTCTGAGGTTAAGTCGGGATTAAATCAAATTATGCGGATAATAATAATAAACGATTATTTTATTAAAAATATAAATCGCGATGACGGAGATTAATTATGACTACATGCGCGCGCGCGTTCCGACTTTAATTAAAGAGCAACGGTACAACGTGAGCTGTGTATAAAATAAGTTATGCAGAAGTGGAACGTCGTAAGATTTCAATATAGGCAGTAATGTGCGTATTATTTGATGTTCGATGTTGATAATGCACGCTACGGAAACACGCAACTGTAACAGATGCGGTGAAAAGAGATATGATTGGAATTCCAGTAACATGTTTAGCTTGTGCATTTTAATGCATTATACGCACGGACATCAGCAA